CTTTAAATATTTTATATAAACAAACAGAAAAGCATAAATGCATGTATAAAACAATGCTATATGCATTAGTGTGTTAATTTGTAGTTAAATATTTAAATGTTGTGTATATATTTGTACACACACATACAGTAAGTTTATAACTGCATTAGTTTCTAATGAAAACAGCAGGAAACAGAAGTTGAGGCAAAAACTTCATTTTAGACTCATGTTTATAAAAATAAATATAAACTATTTAAATAGAATAAATGTGTTTAATATAAAGTGTGTATTTTGTGCCATAAACAGGTGATRAACTGTTGAAAACATGATGAAAACAGGGACACTTTAAGCGGCTCACAGACGCGGTCCTACCGTATTTCGCGTCCCAAAGAAACACCATCTGTGCGGCTGACAGGAGCTCAGTTCCCCCGCTGACAGTCCGGACGGGTTCGGTACCGCTGGACCCGGGCCGCCCCGTCACATCGTGGACCTCCGGAAACCTGAAGGTGTCCGCGCGCAGTCCAGGCGCGAGACGAGTTCCCAGAACAAAATAAATAAATAAAACCTGCGTCACTCTCCTCCAGTTAGAAAAGTCTTCTCGGCTCGGCTCGGCTCGGTTCGGCAGCTTCCGAACGACAAACAGGAAGTGAAAGGAGAAGCACGRAAAAAAGCGAAGACGTAAAAGAAAAGAGGGAAAGCTTCGCAGCAGAAGTTTTTAAAACCTGCTCTCTCTCTCCTCTCTCTGTTCGGTCAACGGGCCGAGCGTTTACCGGCACCGCTCCGAGATTTGCATGTTTCACGAGCCGTCAGCCAATCAGCGCGCTCACAGCAAGGCGGCTGACCAATCAGCGTCGCGTCCGTTCASAAGGAGGCGGAGCTTAAAGAAGACCGACACCAGCAGGAAGGTCTCCGCATGTGTTATAAAGRCGCATTCCGTGAAATAAAACCTGAAAACCTAACGTGTTTTTAAAGAAACAACTTAAATAAAGACAAATTAAAGTAGAAACGATCTAAACCTGTGGAATAAACACAGCAGGAAGGAGAAATTAGTTACATCAAAGCGAGCAGTACCCAACATGTCCGACAGGGGGCAGTAGTTCACAGAGCTTCACCTGCCTTTAACTCCAATTTATTCAATGTAATTAAAGTTTGATCTGAACAAAACAAAAGAGAAGTTGTTTTAAATGGTACATATTTCTCAGTAAAATATACCTTGGATTAATGAAGTTAGATTTGTTTTTCTATTTTATTTTTAATTTAATGCCCAAACTGCTTCTTCAGGATGGATAGTTGATGCT